AAAATTTTGAATAATAAAATAATCAACAAGTGATTCGTGTTGTTAATGTATGAAATAAAATTTCCTTTTCCTTGTTTATATTTTAAGGACTACAAGCTCATTTATATATCTTATTTTATAATCTTATTATATATATTTTAAAGGCATTTACTTACGTTAGGAAAAAATTTATTAATACGTAAGTATAATATATAATCCAGTGTATAACATATATATTCAGTTGCTTATTGATAAATTATTTAGCTAAATATACTCATCTGTTATGTCCTCCTTTATGTCAACTGCGAAAGTTTAACTAAATAAATTTTTAATTTCCTACTCATTTACACATTCAGCGTGTCAAATTGTAATTGTCCTGTCTATTAATTGTTTCTTTGTTTTTCGTTGGTTTAAATTACTACGGCATGAAATTCACTTCACTCCTTCACTCCAAGGATGTGTTAGAGCTTAACAAATGTATTCCATTTGCGGTTACTGTTTTCATGTCCATCTGATGTCTATTGAAACGGTCACACATAATGAAGCAAAACTGCCCATTTAAATAGAAACAATTTCACTGTAACATTTTCATTCTTAATGAGTGGGTCATCAAATTTCGCATTAATCTTTTCGTTATTTTAACCTTTTTCCCCACATCTCGAAATTACTTTTTACTTTTCCCAGTTAAAGCTTTTATAAATTGCTGCACATTTTTTCAGCTTTAATTGGATAGAACATTTTTCTCAGTTTTCGATAGCAAAAGAAATACAAACGAAAATTAATTATTTTATATATACACGAGGATATACATTATAATAATTGGGGTGCTTCTCCGTAGAGAATCGTAACCTTTAAAAGATAAGGCTCCTGTCATTACGAGTATGATAGCCTATTTTTTAACTGAGTTCCCGAGTTTGTGGCAATGGATCATATTTAAATATTTTATTATCCTTTTGTTTAGAACCAAACATCCATATAATCCGTGTTGCATTGTTTCGAAATGTCATCATCGACTGAACTTTGTTAAACTGTGAACTTTGAAAGACCTAAATTCTATCACCTCTTCAAAGTTTATGCTACTCCAAATGACCATTTTCTGTTAATATTGAGCGGATCGCTTAGATGTAACTATTTAAATTAGATAACTATCTTGTTACCATCCACTCTCCTCTGTCCAAGAAACTTTGAAAATAGATAGTTTCTTTTCTAATTCAAATAATTCTATAAATTTGACTGCGTTTGTTTTTCAGGTAGTCGTGTGTGTTGTTATTATTCTAAGGCCCACCTGATTGCCAATATATAAATTATGAGACAAATCCAATATAACCAGTTCTACTTCTTTCTGAGAAACGAATTTTTCCTACAGAAATATACGTATGGTGTACTTAATTGGTAGCACTACTTCCTGACTTTTGAAAACGCTATATTTAATCGAAGGCAGAGAATTGTAGCATCTATACTTCTCTTTCGAGAAGTAGATGGTTAAATTACTACACTCTATAAATCAAACTAGCATTTTCAGACCATGTTGTTGCTACATCTTCGGTTGTTTGTCTGTATAGCACAGCTAGATTCAGTTTGTGCCGTATAGGAATCATTGATTTTCTAATGTTTATTTCATTTAAAGGTAGTTGTTCTGTTCCTCCTGAGAACAAGCCATGTGCAGAGAAAATAGGAAATGGGAATTTCCATTCTGGCTTATAGAGATTTTGTATGAGATTGAAATCAGGCCATTGTGTCATACTAGTCTTATATGTCAAAAGATTTTTTCACTTACAAAACGCTTTTTGAAGATATGTAGGGGTTTTTGGTCGAACCTATATGTTTCAAGTATTCGCGAATATTATTATTCGATGGATGGCTTAGTTGAAAAAAAGTTTACAATATAAATATTAATAAGTAATTGTACAGAAAAATCTGAATGTGGATACAAAAATATTACTAGTTCATTATTATTGTTATTGTTTTTATTCAGTTAGTTTACTGATATCTTTTCCTTCACGTTTTCTTTATTACTCACCTCCAAGCCACACGCCGCCTTTTTGCGTGTGCTTAAAGGCTACGACACAATTAAAATGACAAAATAAATAAAGGCCATAATACAATGTACCTTAATTCTAGACAAATACTATAAACCTTAATTCTAAACAGTTATTAAAACATTTCTATATTTTGTATTGAATAGTATTAGATAATCCATTCTTTATTTGAACGATCTCCACTGGACATCGCGTATTTTTAAATCCTTTTCAGTTGCTTTTCGATCACTTGACAATAGTTTGGCCACGAGCTATATATTGTTTACTTTCAAAGTGTTGAGAGTTTGAAGATTGTCAGCATGGCTTAGCCTTTCAAAAAAATGCGATAATTTTTTCTCGGTGATTTGAGAAATTTTCAATCAAACACTGTTGTTCGAGAACCTATAATGCCTCGGTTTGTCAGTTTGTGATATGTCATTGAAATAGTGTTGGCAAATCAGAACTATATAATCATAATATATTTTATTTATGACTATGAAGGATGCCAATTGTTATATACTCTGTATAAATTGTAGTAAAACTGCTAATTATTTTTAAATATAAATATATATCACTAAGTACTTTTCGTTTAAACTAGGAATTAATAAATTGGATGTTTTTATTTATCATAATTTGTTTAGTAGTAATCAATAAACAATTCCAATATGTTTTTAACGGTTTGTTTCTGGCTTTGCGAAATGAAGAGCTGAAGTGGCAAAGCTGAAGTTACAAAGCTGAAGTTGACGGTGTTCAAAGTAAGCCTAAGCAGCCACTGTAGCAAATGCTGTATTAGACCAAGTTAATCTAGAGAACTTATCTTATGCAAATATGATTTCTGTTCTTTCAAACTGAATTAATTTCTTTTTTATTAGATTAATACGTTTCTTATACTATTATATATTAATAGATTTGAGTATCCAGTCTTTATTTTAGTATTCCACATTATTGCAGTTTAATATATTATCCTTTAAGAGACTGTTCAGTTTAACAATATCACTGTCTGCATCACACGCAAGTTGTATTATAGTTCCATAGAAGTTTAGATTGAAGATTTTATTATTTTCTTTACTACTTTCAATAATGGCAGAGCTAGTGGTGGTTATTGTGAATACCATCTTACACAATGATTTAGGTTTCTTGGGGATGCAAAAGTAAGACTATATTAAATACATCTTTACTTTATTAAAATAGTTTTCCACCATAGTACTCTTCTTGTTTTTACATCGCTTGAGGAATTGTGAAATCTGCATATAATTTGGATCGTTCTTTGTTCTTCAGCAGTATTGACGGTATATACCGTTGGTGATTTAGTGGCATTACGACCAGTAAATGCATAAGCATAAGCAATGAAGTACAAAGTCTTTATCTGGTCTTTACCACATATAAGCTGTGAAATATTATCAATTGTGAGATACAATTTGCGGTAAATTTAATTTTAAATTTCTTTTCAATAAAAAACTAAAAGATATTAAAAAAAATTATAAAATTAAAATTAAACTTTAAAAAGTTTAATCAAAGACATTCTGTAACAAAATTTTTTTTTTATTAGCCTGTTGATGCCTTATCTATTAAATAGACGTCAATATGCACAAACTTTAAGTTTTAGTAAAATATAAAGCTTAAATGATAATAACTCATCAACACTGAAAAATCGATATTGTAGGAGTAAAAATAGTAGAAGAAGTAAATTTCGTTCTCGTGTTA